CTGCTAGAAGATTCATCTCAGGATGAGCTGCAAGGATCCAAAATCTGTCATGCTCCCTGCGGAAAGTCTGGAGACCAGTCCTTTTTGTAGCATCCCACACTCGAATGCTCTTATCCTCTGAATTGGAAACAATAATATCTTGCCTTGAATGGAACAAAACACAAGATACATTGTTCATATGGCCTCTCAATGTGTCCACCTCCCAGGCCTTTGTATCTAGCATTATCAAAAACACAGTTAGTAGTGTATAGTCTCGTCATACTAACCTGAGAAGATCATCAAACGCATTAAAATATACAAGTTTCTAACAGCAGACAGCCTAATCCAATCTGAAAAAGCACCTGTTGTCTATCAATTTAATTCAAGGAGAACATTCTTCTCCAAGAATAGAGAAAGGCTTGAGTATACATCCTGTATGATTTTCCTGAGCATAACACAATGAAGGACATTCATTTCTTTATGGGTACCAAGAAACTACAGTTCAGCACGAGTCTAATTAGCTTCCCCAAGCTTTAGAGATACATGCAAACTGCTACCACTCACTAGCTCAGACATACCAAGGTACAGCCAGTTTTAGCTGAATTAAGGAATTCTTAACTGACAAGTTTTTAAGTTAACTGACAAGAGGTTCTACAAATTTGAAAGATCCTATTTCTTTGGCCAAGTGGACGATCAAAAAGCTCTTATTATAGCTAAAATGATATATAACAGTAAATAAGTCAAATAGCACAAACTGAAGTAAGAAAACATTTATGGCTGGCATGCGAAAAAACATTCAAGATTTTAGAGCATACCATTCATCCGCCAGATTTTCACCTGGCGATCATCCGCGCCAGACACAATTAGGGGCAGTGTAGGGTGAAATGAAGCCCAGTTAACCCCTCGATCATGACCCTCCAAGACATACTTCACAACAGCATCTACTCCACCAAAGAAGTCTGTATTCATCTGGCTCAAGCGCAAGATGTCATCAGCAGGAGAAACAGTTTTCTTCCTTAGAGCACCAATATCCCAGACCCGAACAGTCTGATCCAAAGATGCAGAGACAACCAAGTCCTCTTTGGGATGAAACAGGGCACACATCACGTAATGGTTGTGCCCAGTCAAGACAGAAATACAAGTGCGAGACTGCCAGTTCCATATCCTGATTGTCTGATCATCACTTGCACTGACAATCCAGGGATATTCATGATGAAATTGGACAGTGCGAATATAATCAAGATGTCCAAGCAGTGTAAATAAGCACCGATGCAGCTTATAATTCCAGACCTTTATCTTATAGTCATCTCCTGCAGCAAACAAGTTGGAAGAGTTTAAATATACTAAGAACAGTCCAATACCAAATTTCAATAATGCAAGTAGGCATAGATTGCAATTCTGTTAAAATATATGCTGTTAGTTCTTATTTATTTACTTAATTTATTTGCCTTGGTGATGATAGGTAAATTTGTTACTGCAGTAGCACTTGCAGCATTATACATAACATCCATACAATTTATCAATCATCACTATAGAATCAGCTTAAGAATTGAGCATTGAGTGTACATAGTAGTGTTCATAGTTCTTCTAGATTTTGACAATGTCATGAATTATTTGGTCCTTCTAGAAACAGAAAAAATACAAACAACATGAAAGAAATTACTCTATATAATTTGATTTGATTAAACATTAAATATCTTATGAGTAAACAAAATACCACTCGAACCTTCAGTCAAAAAAGAACTAATGATGCCTCTTCTAAAGAAGTTCAAGGATGAACAAGACTAAATATGAGATCACATTACATTTTCTATGATTCATGAGGCATTCCACCTGATCTAGAATATACAAGAACAAATGCATATTAAAACACAATGTGAATGATATAAACTAGCCGATGACATTGATCACATAGATCAAATAAACTAGAAAAGGGAAAAGCTACCAAACAAGTGCATAAAAAAATTCTCGTCCGGAATTTCACTAAATTCGGCAAAAGTAGCATTTAGATTTCATTAATCAAACATCTATTCATCAACACATATCAGTAGATCCACACTCCATCACTCAATCATGAAATCAACTGCAACAGCAAATTCAGAAAAGAGGGAAAAAATGAAAATCAAACCTCCTGATACAAAAAGAGGCTGAGACTTGTGAAAATGAACGCCACGAACAGGGCCATCATGTTCATCAAATCGATCAATGAGAGTTCCCATACGGTAATCCCAAAGCTGGATCACACCGCTATGAAGACTAGCTAAGATCCATGGCCTTTTGCTATGAAAACTGAGCCCTTTCACTCGATTACTCTTCGTTTCAAACTTCGTCAACATCTTTCAAAATTCCTCAAACGCAACAAAATCAAATGCTCAAAAACAACAACAACTAATTTTGCTGTATGTGAAACCCTAACTGGATTTCGAGATCAAATTCAACTCAGATCTGATCGGAAAACTGCATTTCAAATGAAGATCGGTGAACGGAGAGTGCGTATGTTAAGGGAAGTTGTCTCTTTGTGTGTATTTTTTAGTGTGCGTTAAAGAAATTGGGGATCGGAAGTTTGATACACAGAAGAATAATATAGTCTCGTAAAGAGAAATAGAACTTGAAATTAATGTGAATTGCTGGTGGATCTACGGGTCCCAGCTGTAAGATCCATTTTTACTTGAGAGAAAAAATAGCTATTTAAATTATTTTTATTTGTTTTGAAGAGAAAAAAAAACTTTATTCTATAGTAATATTTTGAGTGTAAGATTAGGTGATTAGCATTTACGAGTTGATTAATAAAGATTATATATGGTTATTACTTAATCATGATTGAGTAATGTATTTTTTTTACTTTAATTGTGATTATTGAGTTTGATTTGATTAAATTGAAACATAATTCATTTCCGAGAAAGGAAGTTTTGAGTATTTGGGATTAATAATTTAAAGAAATGGGAAGATTGATGATGGTGTACATATTGTATGGAGCAGGTTGGATGGAGTGAAAAGTTTGTATATGGTGTTTTGTGTAATGAAAATGTGTTACCAAGCCTTGAAGAAGGTATTATAAGTAGAGGTTAGATCAATTATATTGAATAGGGTAGAGTGTTAGCCGATTAAAAATTTGCAAGTCCAAAAGATGAAAGTAACGAAAATGAGGATGTTAAAATGAGTGTGTCGATATTCCAGGAGTGATAGGATCGAGAATGAAGCTATCTAGGACAAGGTTGGAGTGGTCTCCGTGGACAAGATGAGTAAGGCAAGACTGAGATGATTTAGACATATAAAAAAAAGATGCATAGATTCCATGGTGAGAAGAAGTGTGAGGCTTGTCGTAGACTGTAGTAGATGTAAGGAAAAGTAGATTGAAGAAGTTGGGGGAGGTGATTAGACAAAACATAGCTCACCATCAGCTTATCGAACATTGCTCTTGATAGAAAAATATGAAGATAAATAATTAGGTCCTAGATAGTATTGTTATTATTATTGTCTTACTATCATATCTTTTTATTTTAATATTACCTGATGTTCATTTGTTTCGGTTATTTTGGCGTGTTACTGTTCTTTTCTTCATTGTTTTCAATAAAAAAAAATTTGCTACTATACTTGCTTTACATTTTTATTTTCATATGCTCTACTTGAGTCGAATATCTAGCAAAAACAACTTCTCTACCTTCATAGGATAAGAATAAGACTACGTGTACACATCATACTCCTCAAACTTCACTTGTAATACTATATTAATATGTTGTTATTAATTTAATCAAGATACGTAAAAGCTGATTCGAACACCATAATCATACTTTTTTTTATTAATTTGTTATAAATACTAATGATACATATTAAAGTCAAAAAGAGAAACAATTTGGTAAAATTAGTACCTCGTGCCTACCCTAAGTTACAATGGATGGGACCATTTTTATATAAGAGGTGTTACTAGATAATTATATTGAATTTTCACTTTTTTATTTTTTGACTTTCTTAATAAAATATTATATCATAAAATCAATTTTTCTTTCCCTTCTCACTAAAATAAATCACAGAGCTTACTTAAGCCATTCAAAAAGTGAGATCATTTGACATTTTCTTCCCTTCAAATGTAAAATATACACTTTTTGTACATTATTATATAAAATTTAAACTTCAAAAATATAACCGTAAATAATATAGGGAGTCACTTAGTTTGTTACAAAAGGCTAGTTGATATTTGGGCTGCGTCCTCTCATTCTGTTAGTCCAATTGCCATTGGACCCAAATACTTGTCCAATGGGCTGACTTTTCTTTGGGTCCTAAACTTCTTCATTTTCAACAATGTAAATAGCAGTACTAACTACTAAGTACTAAGGCATTGACAAGTAATATTTTGGTTCATATAAATATTCAAATGTATAAAAATTGATAAATATAATACAATTTAATTAAACCACACATTTAACGATATGTACATGTATATTCATTAACCACAAAGTGTAATATTTATTTTCTACACATATAATTTTATGTTTAAGATATATTACCGTGTCAGTACATATAACTTTAATCCTTTTCAATAATCATACAATGTAAAATATACCTTATTAGAAAATATGAAATTTGCTATGGTATTTGTTGATATTTCTAGCTAATTCGCAGCTGTAAGGTTCCTAGCTAGTAAAATTTTCTTTAAATCATCGTTAATCTGTCACTAAATAGAAATAGCTTGAGATTTTGTTGTTTAGCTGAAAAATTTATTAATTTGTCGTTTATTTTTTATTTTCTATTAGAGATATTTTACCATTGGTGTAGATATTAAACTCATACATCTTAGCATTCAAATAATATAAACTTAGTTTGTACCTGCCTGCATGTACCTCCAGCTAATTAGAAGGAAAATTTGATTTGGTACTCTTTTTAATTAATTCATTTGTCTCCATTTAGCATCTAGCTAACCCAATTTTCACTTTCTTTAATCCTACTTAGTTTGTCCTATTATCAATCTCTCCCCTATAATAATCTCTAACAAGATACATTAAACTCCATTAATTCCTTCAAATATGTCGTTGAGAATCACCCCAGTATTAGATGAAATAATTCTCACACCTAATAGTACTCATGAGTCCGAAAACCAAAATACTGTACCAGATATTGGTATTACAATCGATGATTCCTCTCTCAGTTCATCAGAAAAGCGAGAAGACGATCATAACCTTCTCACTTTATTCTCAATGCTAACAAGGATTCATGCAGGCTATTTTAGAATAAGCCTATCTTTGTGTTGGGAAACTTTATTATGGAAAACACTACTCGACCCAACTAATAACGAAACAAAATTCTTACATCGTGTCCCTCAAATAATCTATCGTCCCATTCTAATATTCTCATGGTCGTTTGCTTTATTGATTCTGGTTCTACTTTCAGTACTCTACCTCTTGAAATGCGTCTTTCGATTTAATTTAGTCAAAGGGGAGTTTCTACACCATGTTGGTGTAAATTACCTTTTTGCCCCTTGGATTTCTTGGCTTATTTTACTCGAATCCTACCCTTTTATTATAGCTCCAAAACACGTTGGTTACAAAGCTCTTTGGTGGGTTTTTGCTGTTCCGGTTATAATTTTGGATGTGAAAATTTATGGGCAATGGTTCACTAAAGGGAAAAGGTTTTTAACAGCCGTGGCTAACCCAACGAGCCATTTATCGGTCATTGGGAACTTAGTCGGGGCTCGAGCCGCGGCTAAAATGGGCTGGCAAGAGGTTTCGGTTTGCTTGTTTTCATTAGGCATGGTTCATTATTTGGTCCTTTTTGTTACGTTGTATCAGCGGCTATCGGGAAGTGACCGGCTACCGGCTATGTTACGGCCCGTTTTCTTCTTGTTCTCGGCTGCTCCGAGCATGGCTAGCTTGGCTTGGGCGTCAATTACTGGAACCTTCGATACTACTTCGAAGATGTTCTTCTTTCTCTCGTTATTCCTCTTTACGTCACTGGTAACGTTAAATTTAAAAAGTATTATTTTTTTAAAAAAAATTCCAAAACATATTATTCGATATAACTTTTAATTAACTATAAAATAGACAATCTTTTATAACAAGTTATATTACATATTGATAATATAAAACTCTTTATACGATATATGAGTTGAATCCAAGATTAAAGGAGTCTTCCACTTGCAAAATTTGATGAATATATATCAGAAACCTTTAATTTATGTCTTTTATTATTATTATTATTATTATTATTATTATTATTATTATTATTATTATTATTATTGTTTTTCAATCCTAAGTTGGAATTTTTCACTTCCTTGCATGTGCAATTAGATGAAATTGACTTTACAACAACTTTGTCTTCAAGTCTACGTATGTGTTGTATTAGGAATATAGTTATAATATTGTTTTCTTTTAGGATCAACTTGTTATTTATGTTTCTAATTTCATTGTTTTTGTCTTTTTGTATATTAAAAATATCAACGTTATTAAATATTGGCTTGCTATTTAAACTATTCATGTTTTCTTGTACGAGCCGTACATGCCGTGATCAAGACGACTCTCATTTGTCAGTCTACTAGATCCACAATCCCATAAAAGTATAAAACTGATCAAATCTTTTTAGGTAGATGGTTTGGTCAAAAATATTAAAATTATATCACGTACAAATTTATTTTGAGTATATACGTAATATATTTATCGATTATTTTTTTAGGAAAGGTGTGATAAAGACCAAGATATATAGCATTAGGGTTCGGTCAAATTCAATAATCTATCTCAAATCTTATATGTGTATGTTAGAAAATTCAACATATGTTAATATATAGAAAACTTATATTATGAACTAAGTTATTGGTACAATGTTGATGTTCTAAAATTTTGAATTTGCTTCTGAACGATAGTGATTGATTATAGTTTTTTTGTTTGAACTTTTTAGATATGCAGGCCAAGTCTTTTCAAGAAATCAATGAGAAAATTTAACGTGGCATGGTGGGCATATTCATATCCAGTAACACTATTAGCATTGGCATCTACAAGATATGCAAAAGAGGTTAAAGGAAAAGTGCCACACACCATAATGCTAACTCTATCATCTCTCTCAGTTTTAGTCGTCATTGCTCTATTGCTCTCCACTGCTCTTTACTCGAAAATCCTCTTACGTGATGATGATCCTTCTCTCAAGCATACTTGTTTAGCAGAGACGCATTCAGAATATTAAATACGCGTTTTTCCTATTTGCTATCGACTATGATTGAGTTTAGTGGTGCGAGCTATTGCATGGGAGCGGGGGTTTTACCATAAAATGATTGAGTTTAGTGGTCTCCAGCTAGCGCATGCCTAACAAGAGTCTACCTCTCTCATGAGTCTGCCCTATGTATTAATTAATTATTGTAATTGTAATTAATTAAGAGCTTAGGGCTGATAGCTACAAGTCATTATCGTTCCTAAAGTATTAATTAATATATGAAAAATGCATAAGTACCCCCAATCTATGCCGAAATCTCAGAGACACACTTATACCATACTAAGGTCCTATTACCCCCAAACTTATTTTATGAATAATTTTCTATCCCTTTTCGGTCTAGGTGGCACTATCAACCAGATAGCTTGAAAATTGTCAACACCCGCTGAGCCAGAAGATAGTGCCACGTAGGCCGAAAAAGGGTAGAAAATTATTTATAAAATAAGTTCGGGAGGTAATAGGACCTTAGTATAGTATAAGTATGTCTCTGAAATTTTGGGCATAGATTGAGGGTACTTATGCATTTTCCCTTTAATATATGTTATTGTATGGAAATATCGTCTACTTGCCATAACTACTCTTTACTATTTGGGTTCAATATGTATTACTTAATTTATATGAATTTAATAAAGTAGAACTTTTTATATATTTTTTATTTTGGGTTTTTATCATATTCTGTCACATATACATGTGTATGATGACGTTTGAAATATGTCCATGTTTAAGTGACCAACTTTCTGTCTATAGACAAATGACAAATCATTTTCGTTATATATAGCCAGCTAATTAGATGCCTAAGTTTGATCAACTATATATACTACGTAGTACACATTTATGATCTTCATCAGATATGGGAAGATCAGAATCACTACTAGAAAATATGGAACTAGCTATAGAATTTTTTGATAATTTCTAACTAATTCGATAATTGAGTTTTCTTTAAATTCGTTGCTAATCAATAGCTAAACGAAATTAGAATGAAATTTTTATTATTTAATTATGAAATTCTGCCTGTCGCGCTGATGCTTTATTTTCTAGTAGTGAATTGGGCGTAATCAATTGGTAAATATAAAAACTATAGTCTATATGATAATGATAGGCGAAGTTTCTCCCATCGTTAATATCTTATAGTATGTTAATTAAGAGAGACTAGTAGGTTAGGGTGGTTTGGACATAAGCTTTAAATTATTTAGTTAATAGTAATTACTATTATTACTTTCTACTTTAATTCCTTATTTTGACTTGTTCGTAATTTAAAGGGTTCATTTAACATTGACACATAAATATTAGAGAAAATAATTATTTAATTTCCTTTAGCTCAGGAATATATATATAGCTCGTTGATAGATCAATCTATGCACTTCAAATTTGATTGTTGTGATGAGTGATACCCGACAATGTCTACTTGTACATATTTTTTTTTTCTTCTTATTTTAATTAAATATTATGTATATTCTATAAGACATTTATAGCTGCCAAGCTGTCAATTTCTCATATTGTTGACTAACCAACTGATCATGAATATTTAATATCAAATTCTCTAAAAAAAATCAATTCAATCGAGGTATCTAAATAGGATTTTAAATTCTGACCTAGAACAAACTAGATCTCATAATTAAATTAGTATTAGCATTTAATTAATAAGCACGACAACGTGAATAGAGTATGACTGTATAATGATATATATATGTACGTAGCCCTTTTTAAAAAAAATTCCCCGCCATGAGACTTGAGAGGCAATTGAACATTGCTCAAGCATAGGACATACGTTTATTGACTTGATATAATATTGAGTGTGACCAAATTTTCATATATTTAAGGTGCAATGTAATCAATCTGTGTTTTGTTTATCTATCCTAACACTCAAAGTCCTGACTTACTTGATGCAAATATATACCAACTAACAAGTACCAAACCATGTACAATGTGTTAAAATATTCTATAGAGCATTTTTAACATAAGAAAAAAATAATTAAGTGATATAAGGTATATAAATGGAAAAACTTTTTGAGAAAATGAACCCATTGAAAATTTTATTAAAACAGTTTTATTTTCTTTTTCTTAATGAGAAGAAGCAAAAATGTGGTTAGCAAGTTGGGGTGGCTTTCTAAAGATGGGCTCAATTAATGATGGGCTTTTCTGGTCCAGCTTGTATTAAGTGAGCAAGCCCACCGAATAGCCTCTAGCCCACAATAATGTCAACAAAATATTACAAATAATAAGTTTAGAAATTTTTTGTCTTGTCTGACATAAGTTTGGTAGAAATTAAGTAGTATGTCATAAGTCTTGTAAAATCTAATTCGCTCGGATAAGTTAAGAGAACTTTTGTCTCACTCGAAATAAATTTTGTAGATCAAATTATGCCTCTTACCATTCATTCTGAAACTAAACTTTTGCCTCTCTTGACATTAATTTTGTAAGAACTAATGTGGGTTTTGAACCGAATGAATTATGCCTTGATCAACATAAGCTATGTATAGAGATTAAGCAATATAACTTGTATGTTATAGACTATAATAAGTATGGTAAGAAAATATAAACTCATAGAAAGCAAAAAATATTTGTTATTTCGACATCAGAGAAATCTTTAGCTACTTATTATTTGTTGCTTAATATATGAAAAGATAAATAAAATACCATCAAATTTAATAGATAAAAATTAAAGACCATCGATATTTGTGCGAATGACCCAATACATGAAAGGACTAGATGAACAACGTTAATATTTCAAGATTCCTTGTCATATAGCCGTGCAAGTAATCACAAAGTTGTAGACTTTTAGTATCCTTTTCTTCTTCCTAGGCTTTAGTTTAGTATCACTTTTTAGGGTTTAATGTTAAACCATTGGTTCTTTGTTTGTCCCATTTAGATATATACTCGTTATTGCAATGTATTCATAGTCCTGACATTTTGCCAAACTACTTATATTCTGGTTAGTTTTATGAAATGTTTATATATGTATTTAGTAATTTGTTTGTCATTCGAATAATTCTATTCTAGGATTAGTTTTCTGAATGTCTATATTTAGTATTAGTTCGAGGTCGCTTAGGCGACGTAACCCCTTTTAGAGTTACGTTCAAGTTTATGAGTTGTGAATTTACTATTAAATTAGTTCAATTGTTTTAATTATTGAATTACCAATTTATAAGTCTAAGAAAAAGCTATTGAATTTGTCTGATCAAACTTGTACCTAATATCGTTTAAGTTGACTATTAAATTTATTGTAGCTCGTTTTGTTTATTGAATTACCAATTGAAACGTCTAATTAAGCAAAAGTCATTGGATTCGTTTGATCTAAACTTGTACCTAATATTGTAACTCCGCTCTTGTTTCCCTTTTCATACAACACATGCACATCGATTTACCCTATCTATCTATCTTTTCTTCTTATTTTTTTTAAATAAAAAAATTCCCCTAGTTGGCACGAGTATTATATATCATGAGAATAAGTACATGAGGGGGGGTTGACCTTACATCAACATACAACACAAAGGATAGAACTTTTATCCTTTCAAAGGGAGGGTTAGGAGATGACTATCTTCACACTAAACCCCCGCACATATAAGGAGTAAATTAGCCAACAAAAAAGTTCGCTACAAACCACACCCTTCAGGCCTCTTCAAACTTCATTTATGAGATTATGCTGACTATGTTATTGGTGTATAAGTTGAGTTAAAACTTTGAGGATCACAAAATAGATGAAAGCATCAAATAATATTCGCATAAATCAAAAGTAGTTTTAGGGTAGGTAGTGCCCTAAACTTAGAGCATATGTCATATCTGTTGGTACAACTTAAGACATATATAAAAGAAGAGACCGCAATCACTCGTTTAACACAATGGTCCTTTATTTGCATTTCCTTCATGTAATGCTATACTAATAATATATACTAGCTATACAGAATCTTAAGCAAAATTTGTTGAACAAATCTTTCATTTGCGAAAATTGGTGAAAAAAGTACTTGAGTCTAGTTAGTGTAATGGCAAGAAGTTAGTTCCCTTCTTTAGGTAAAAAGGGACCCACATCGATCCGTCATTTATGTGTAGTCTCTTTAATATGACTTGAACAATCTTCACCTCTTGAACTAGCATTTGAGATTAAGTTAGATCTAATGTCTATTATTCACAATGTCCAATTCTAGACATACCTCCTCAAGGTAAATGCTAGATTTGCGTAAACTCTATCCTTTCTAGTGTCCAGAATCTGCTTTTGAGACTACGTTGAGTTTGTTGTGTTGTTGTTACATGAGTGAGTATTGAAGAAATCTCACATCGATCAATTATGGAATGGGCACTAATTAACTACTATCCATGTGTTTTAACTTAATTTCTATAGGCCATTTCTATATTTATCATATGTTCATATAACATAATTTATAATTATCTTTTAGGTGGCCTAATTATCTTTGATATTTTATCTACCCCTTGAGAGGGCTAACTCGTATAGTAGAGGCCATCAAAACCTTTTCATAATATTCGTTGTCTGCTTTTTTATTAACGGGATAATTCATTGAATACGTTGGTAAAGTACATAATTATGGCACTACAAACCAATAAATAGGAAAACAAAAACAGATTAAGGAATTGATTGATCAAAAAGATTAGAAAAAATGTCTCAAGTCAAATCTAACAATATTGAGCATCAACGATTATTTCTACTCTCACCATTTTCAACATATATATTTTTGAACAATTACAATACTTCAACGCGGTCAATTACACACTTTAATATGATATTAAATTATTCAAAATCCATATCTCATGATCTCGACGTCATCCAGTGAATAAAATGAATTTGCATAAGAAATAAAAGAATCAAATCTATATAGGAGGAGACGTATAATATATAATCCCTCTTAGTATTAAGTATATCTTGAATTTTAAAAATAAGATGATCACACATTTTTCCTCATTTAATTCATAATAAAAATATAAATACTGGTGGGTGACAAGTGACTGATAACTGAGACGTTGTG